TGCCCAATCTTATTCATTTTTTATATGATTAAGAAATTTGTTAGAATAGAAACAACTATTTCAAAAAATCAGATGCACTTTCTGCATAGTTCCAGTAGCCAAAAAAGTAAACTAAGTTCTTCTAGTACTACATGTATTATTTACTAATAAAAATACAAACCAAGGTTGTATACTCTGATACTTGAGACTTTTATGTTTAATTTATACCCATTCATCATCTGTGTTTTGTTTTTTTAGTGTGTGTGTGTGTGTGTGTGTGTGTGTGTGTGTGTGTGTGTGTGTGTGTGTGTGTGTGTGTGTGTGTGTGTGTGTGTGTGTGTGTGAGGGTGTGTGTGTGTGTGTGAGTGTGTGTGTGTGTGTGTGGTTAATTCATTAATTTTAATTGTAAGCAGACATCCTCCTTTCTGTTCACACCATTTTCGAGTATAAAAAACTATTCTCTCACATTCAAGGCTCAAACCTAAACATGCGGATTTATGGTTGTAACACTGAGGAAATGCCTCTCCTGTGTAGGCAACTAATATCCCATATCTTTGAAATATACTAAGCTCTATATTTATAATTCAAAGCCTATCATTAAGGGTCCTCCAAAGCCTATCATTAAGGATCCTCTACACACCTACAGCTTATTATGTTCTCATATTATTGAGCATTACTTTTAACAAACATATCAACCTTTAAAAACTGTCCAGGGATCAAAATGTAATTTATACTGATTTTTTAAAACAATAATTTCACAAGTTTGAAGAAATTTTTCCTAAGGCGTTTTCATACATAGCACAACAAATTTTGTTTTACCCTTTTGTATATACAGAATAACCATAAAAACTCAATTTCATCGATCAACATATTTTTAACAGATATTCATTTTATTTATAAAAAGTACATAAAATCATTTTCTTTAAAAAATCAGTAAAGACTCCCTTTGTAGAGAAGAAACATTAATGAATTAGATTACATTTTAAAAATCTAATTAAAATCAAATGCACTGAAAACAACATTTTCAAAATCTTTGCTATCAAAGTTCCTTTTGGGAGTTATCTTTCCTGTTGCCTGGGACTCAAAAACGTCAAGTCTCCGCAAACGTCACCATACTATATTTAAAAATTACTGGCCACTGAACTGGACAGATATAAAAGAGGAAAACTAGAAACAAACACTATTTTATCAATATTTATAAACACACAATGAGATAATGTATTATTGAAACGCACAAATTAGTGTGCCGAAATTTCAACTATCAAAACAGACTCGGTTGATTAGCCTGAGAGTATAAATAACCTAAACGTTTCTCGTCATACCAACCGGTACCTGTTGAATTGTTTATGAATTATTATGTAACATAATCCAAGACGACTCTTGTTCTTTAATTAAAAAAAAAACCGCACATCTTTTTCAATCGATCACTCCGTGATCACGTCAAGTGTTCATTGTTTGTAATTACAAACGGTGCTAGGCCAAATCGTCCATCCATAAACTAAATAAAACAGGAAGTAAAAGTATTTTTTCTATAAAAACGTCACGAGTCACATGGTGTGGAGGACCCATAAGGAACATTTTTTTTTTTTGTGGGCATATGTTCATGATGTTAAGAGTTTTTTTTACCTTAAAGTTTTATTTTCTTTATACTCATTGCTTCAAAATCGAATTTTCTTAATAATAATAATAAATTACCTCATTCAGTACACGGCGTGTACAGTTCAGTTGACAGACAAGAGTAATATTTGCCATTCCTTCAGTAAATTCACTATGAATTAAATCAAGTACCCCCCGAATTTCCTCTGCGTCCTTCAAACTGTCAACATTATAAGTTCTATGATTAACTCCAATCTCGTTCACTCTTTCCAAGATTTTTCCAACATTGTGCGCTGAAATAGAGAGAAAACAGTTTTAAAATTGTATTTCAAAATGTTCAATTGTTTTTCGCCTAGTTTATTTCATCAATTAGATTGAACGATCACAACATTAATGTATGAATTCTTGATTTTGGATGTTGATGGTCTACATCAACAACACCTGCCCGTGTCCACATAATTTATTTTGTCAACACTAACAGGCGAAGTTACACAATCGACTACATCCTAAAAAAAGTAATTTAATACTACTCCATGACACCTAATCCCAACTCTGATGTTTCAGAGGTCCGTGTTTACTCTGATTCTATTTTGTATTGTTTTATGGATTTGTTTAATCTTGAATACTGTTCGTTATCCATATATGTTTCAACTATTTTTTTTTATTTTCTATGTTTTCTCTTTAAACATGTCGATTCCTTTTATTTCCATTGTGAAATTAAGTGCTATTCAGAACTGATGTGTTTAGGATCTTTATGATATTGAAATGTATATAAGCATTGCTATGGGAAATTAAACAAAACATATAGTCTATAATTTTTGTTCTTTTCACAAAAAATTGGGTATAATATTTCACCTGAGCCAAAAAATACATATTTTGATATTCTCTGTATATTGAACATAAATATAATTAGTTACTATTGTGATTTTCCCACCTTGACATTTACGTGTGTATTAAAGGTGGTCAAATATTGTAGATTTTCATTGGAATTCATAGCAAAAAAACTCTCAATGTAAATATTTAATATCCATTGCTCAAACTAATTGAATGAAAAATAAGAAATACACAATCTTATACTCGTAATAAGGAAAACACAGTCGTCGTTTAATTACCAGTTGCATTTTCAAAGAATGTTATTGTAGATTTCCAATGCAGATGCGTCAGTATTCGAGCCACCATAACCGAAAGTGTTTCCTCATCAAAATAATTTTCTCCAAATTTGATTGATAAGCAGGCTTCCGTGGGAGTATTGTGAAGCTTTGGTTTTACTTCATGGCAATAGGGATACTTTTCTGGCGCCACAAGACTCTCCACGCTTTCTTGATCTACATCATTCAGGTGAAGTGTAGGCGTGGTATTCAGATTTGAAATTGTCATTATGATGCGATGATTGGTGGAGTTGACGTAAACAAGATCAGCGCTGTTCTTTTTCATTTCTTTGACTAAAATATAAAATATTATTTTTTTTAATACAAAATCTTATCTTTTTGTTCAAATTTGTGCATAAGTGGGCAACATAAAAACTGTCTGAAAACTTTAAGGTATCTAAGATGTCAAAGAAGAAGGTAGAGTTTCAATGCAAATTAAACTCGACATTTTTCTAAAATACTAAAGTGATATAAGAAATCAAAATGCATTCTTTCTGAATAAAAGGAATTCCCTGCAGTAAGAATATACAAATCGATTTTCTCATAAGACCTTCTTATTGCTAATTGTGACGTCATTTACTTATGCATTTTCTCATTTCTTTTAAAGTTGCTAAAGACACCAATTTTCAGTGGAATTTTCTATAAGAAAACACACTCTGCCACCGTCGCCCAGAAAGATTTTGAGATTTGTGATTTTTCATAGCTGTTTACATAATATATCCAAAAATCAAAGTGGGCGACGTTGGCAGGCACTATTTTCTAAAGGAAAATTAGCACAGAAATGTTATTTTAAGGTTTTCTGCACTAAACTTAGAAATGGACCCAATTAATGACGCCATATTTCCAGATAGGGCCTACTTCATGCCATATTCTTTCATAATTTATCATATTCATCTACTTATCTATTGTTAAAATCAATTTCATAACCTTTTAAGAGCATTAAATTTTTCGGGCACAATAAAGCGCAAACTGTACCTTCTTCTTTAAACAAAATTTGAGTTCTCTATTTAGAGTCCTTTTGACAACTTATCAACAAAAACTAAATTAAAATAATATTTTTGATTAAATATCCATAATTAATCAGAAGAATAACTTTATTTTTTTTCTGAAAGAAGTGTATAATTTAAATTAATTCAATTATTTAGATTGTTTATTCGTATTAAGTAACAGTCAATACTTTTTTTCGTCAGTATTTTTGAAAGTTGATAAACGTGGCCTAGAATAGATAAAACAGATAAAGATAACAAAAATGATTAATAATTTGTTTTTTGAAATACAAATATTTCACAAAGATAACTATTTTAGATGGATGTAGTTTTTACCAACACATGTAATGTTATACTCTGTCTGATTGTTTTCTAATGTAAATTTTAATATATTATGTTTGACACAGAAACATCTTATATTTCTAATTTTATGCTGTGATAATAAATTATTATTCATTTTATTTACTACACATTTAGGGCGATTTCCACCTTAGTTTTGACTTTCAGTAAGGCGTGGTATTCTAGGCGCTATGTAATTAGCGTGTGTAAAATGAAGAACAGATTCTCATTGGTGAAGATGTAAATAACATCAGGCTTTAAATTGTTGTTGACAACGATATGAGGCGACTAAAGCTCTACCTCTTTGCCGGAGGAGACCATATTAGTAGTTTTTCGATACACTAATAGGCTGTTGCCCGATTATCTATCCCATGTATATTTCAACAGTCAAGGAGAGCTTTGTAAATTTCAGATGCTAATTATGTAACGTCGAGAATGCCACGCCTTACTGAAAGTCCAAAATAAACTTGAAATTGTCCAATAAACATGTATCTTCTTCATAGTAGAATAAACTTGAACACAAGTTCAGTAATAGATAGGACACTTTTTCGGATTCCCTCGTTTGAACACTTAGCTTAGATAACTAACTGCATAATATATAAATAGAACTTATGCATTACATAGTATGACCTTTTAGCTTCCTTTCTATCGCTTGTTTTCATTGGTTAAAAAATTATACTCGCTATAAATTAAAACCAAACACGATAAGGCAGAGACAGCTAAAGTCGGACAAAGACAGTGAAAGTCGGACACCACGATTTTAAAGTCGGACACAATTTGTTTTCTTATATTATACAATAATAATCTTATTTACCCAATCAATAGGGCTAAATAATTGCTTATTTTTATGCTGATAGCTTATTTTTATTACAGACGTTTTAATGCTTATCTAATTTATGCAATAATTGTCTTAGTAATTAAATAATTAAATTACTAATGCTGCCAATTTTTGGATGTTACTATCGATTTAAAGCACCATAAACAATATCTTTTATGAAGTAAACTGTTAAAACTGAAACGTAAGAGAAACGTACAGAGCACCCCCATCGAATGGAATGACCTGACACCCCTTGGGAATAAATTGTTTCAAGGGTATATAAGTCAGTGCAATTGGCAGAAGCGGGGAATTCTACTGATGACAGATGGCGGGAAAGTTACAGAGAAGACGACGACAAACAAACGTAAGGCTGGTGCACCAGCGGTAAGGTATTAGAAGAATTAATTTGAGAGTCAGGAGGTAGTAGGTCTAACAAGATCGAGGCGCATGATTTTTTTATATTATTAGGAACCCTTTTACCAAGAATACGCGGTGAAGTTACCCAGTCACATTTAAATAATTATATAGCCCTCGGTAAAGCCTCTGATAGTTTAATTATTTTCGAATTATATACAGAATCATTATACTCAGGAAGAGTAAAGGAAAATTATCATATCTCATAATCATGTTTACTCAGATAGAATACAAGGAAAATCATATATCCCTTTATTATAAAGAACCCTATTATTCAGATAAACACGTAACAAAATTAACTCATCTCTGACAGTCTCTCCCAATATTGCACACATTGCACAATTTATTGTTTTTTATTTTTCATTTTTTGTTTTCTCTCTGTTTTAAGTTTTTCTTTTAACATCTTCTTCAGTTCTTTTTCTTTCTTCTCTTCAATGACATCTTTTGTTGTTAGCAATCGATGCGATGTTTTAGACTTTGATTTCTTTACAGTGCCAGTGCCCTTCTCTGTATTGGGGTGACTTGGGGGTAGAAATATACTCTCAACCACACTATTCCAGACAGATTCAACAGAGGTAGATTTTGATGCGTAAGGCGAGACATCCCCATCATCAGACAGACTTTGACAATCACCCGCGGAAATTGTTTCTGGAAGTTCGGATTCATGAGCTGATCTATATTCGGCGGTGTCCTCTGGAACTATCTGGCATTGTCCAGAAGTTATTAGGGACAGCAAAGCTTCGGGGTCATCAAGAACAAATGTGTCGTCGGAACATGCCGATTCCAGAGGAATTAAGGCTCGATCAGAACAGCTGGGGTCAGAAATCGAGAGCTCAAGGGGAGTACATGCAGAGATAGCCTCAGGGGTCTGTGATTCAGAAGTAGAGAAGGGTATCCTTGTGGACAAACCCTCGGGATGATCATAAGACTTAGAAATAGAGAGGGCACTACAAGAGGGCATACTTTCAGGACTCTGTGTTTCAGGAATGGAGATAGGAGTACATATAGACTGAGTCTCGGTATGAGCACAGAGAGGAATCGGCGGAGAAGTCGGATCCAAAATTGCAGTGTCAGAAGTAGCCAGAGTCACGGTACATGTGGGTTGAGAAGCTGGGGATGATCTGGTGTTATCTGGAGAAGTATGTTGGTGGGGCGGAACTACTTCAGTGGCAACGGAGGGATGAAAAGCGTCAGATGAAATGGCACCTGGATTAAAAGGGACTATCCCGCATGCTTTGAATCCGTTTACTATATTTTCCTTAGTGATTCCTGACTGAAAAGCTTTATTGAAAAGATTCAAGAAACTGCTTTTGTTCACAATGTGATAAGGTGACTCTGACAGAAATTCTGAACATGCAGCGTTGTAAGCTGCATTGAAGGGTCCGAAAACTGATCGATCCAGTGGCTGCAGTACATGAGTTGTGTGAGGGGGCAAGCAGATAATATGAATGTTTTCTTTCATGGCCAGCTCCAGAAGACCAAGTGTCTCATGAGACGAGTGGCCATCTAAGATTAAGAGTTGGGGCCGCTCCGGTCCACAGTTCTTCAGGAACACGTCCCGGAACCACCTTTCCCCGAGCTCCTCCGTCATCCACCCGTTTTCTTGGTACGCAAATACCGTGTCAGGTGGGGCATCACTAACATGAAGACCATGAAGAGTGGCGGATGTTTTGCCCTTCACAACTACCATTGGGGCCATTTTCCCTCCTGCGCCATTGACACAGACCATTATAGTGATGTTAGTTCTGTTTTCAGATACACGTCCCACTACATTTCTGGCGCCCTTTTCTGAGATCACCTTAACAGGTGTGTGCTGAAACTGTTTCCCAGTTTCATCACAATTCCATATGTTGTGTGGTTTGTCATTCAAATTAAGATTTGTAATTATGTTTCCCAAATCATTCAAATACTTGTTAACAACCGTGGGATTGAGCATACGAGCACGGGAATTGCCAAGCTTCTCCGGTTTTCTAATTGTAATTTCCGGGTGTCTTTTCTTAAGACCATCCCACCACCCCCGACCTGGAGCCCCATTTTTAAAAGCTGCAACTTTCATCCTCTGACAGAGGATTCCTGTTCTGGCAAAAAGTTGCCTGCGGGAAATCCCCATCCCTCTTTTGGATGCCTCGAGGACGTTTCCCACCACTCTTTCTTCAATAAACTTTGGGAGTGCAGGTTGACGTCCAATGTTTGTGTCAAGGTCACTCCGACCTGATATTTTGTCGGAAATGGTGGACCTGGGGACATTGTAAAGTTTTTCAGCCGCCCGTACAGATAGCACACCTTTTTTAACGTCTTCCACAGCCTTAACCAAGGATTCATGCTTATACCGCAAAATTTTCCGTTTTGCAGAACGCTTTTTTGCCATTTTTGTCTGAAAGGTAAAGGGAACATACTTTTTTCTAAAATTCTGTATAATATGGGTTTTGTCTATATGTCATCCTTTAATTCTATAAATAAAAAAAAAATAATCTACATTATGTCTTCTTTTAACATACTGCAGCTATTTATTTTGAATTAAAATTATGACATAAAGACAGCACATAGGCGTCGAAACCCACCCACCCACAACCCACTGTGTGGGATGATGGGCCCATTGAACATTAAGATTAAGGCGAAGGTTTAGCCCCCCCCCCCCAACTTTCAACAGAAACCTTGCAGTTTAGGTGAAATAAAAAAGTAGTTTTGAAATTTTTATTCTTTCACTTAGACCCCCCCCCCCCAAATTTCAATTTGCTTCCGACGCCAATGCATCATAACAAACCCAATATTCCTTAACAAATTCTGCCTGGACGCTGCCCTAAAGACTTAAATATTTTTATGGCAATATGTTGTTTGCTTTCTTTTTGGTTTTGATTTTCACGTAAATTGATTTTTTTTTGGCCACCCCCCTCCCACTTTTAAACGAGTTCACGTGCCTGGTATATTTGTAAAATTAAAGTAAAAGAAGTAATTACTAAATTTTAATACTCATTTATTTTAATTACAAGTGATTTCAGTTTGTAATTAAATCTAAAGTTTCGTTTTATTTTTCACCACACTTTCAGTTGATATTCCGAGAGCAAATCTTTAATTTTTTGAACATTTTCTTCTGTGCACATGAACCCAATGTTGCAGCGTTGTTTAGGTCCGCATCTCTTCTGAAACTTTTCTGCAGGACCCTTTGCTTTTAGGTATGTTTTCCCACAGATTAGATTTTTTTAAAACAGTTGAGATATAATTAAAGCGTCACTACGAGATAGGTAGGCCCTTTTTCGCTTTAATTCATTGTCTTCATAAATCGATACGGCATTGCTGTCTCGTGGATTTTCTGGCTCGTCTTTAATATAAAAAACATTTCCTACAGCCAACTCGCGACTTCCCCAGTGATGCATCCCCACGGCATATACGCAGTAAACTGCTACTTTCTTCATTCTTCAAACTAAGTTTTCAAGCTGAAATATTTAGTTTTATCGAGTAATTAACACAATATTTTCGTTTTTAAAGGTAAGTAAGAATTTTGTATTTTTATATTGACAAAACAATAACTAGTAAAATTAAGACGATACTAAAAAAAACCCGAATGGCTCGTTTATATTAAATTTTATTTTAAATTCAATTATTCTTATTTTCTTTTTTTTTTTGGCAGAATTTGACAGGGAATATTTGGTGAGATAATTATATAGATATAATTTTATATAAATAAAATTAAATCATTGTAATAAGTATATCTATACATAAAATAAATTCATTTAATTCTAGATATTTGTTAAATAATGGAAAAATACACATCTTTAGAAAATATTAACACGTTCTGTCACTGTGTCCGACTTTAAATGTCTGGCTTTCATGACAACATGTAAAGTCGGACACTAAATTAATTTTTAATTTTAAATCAAACACTTTTATTTGAAACCAATTCATATAAAAAAAAATGTTTATATTAACCTTTTACAACATTTTTTAAAAAGTGCAAATCTGTAATACGGACTATTACCTGTCTTTTGTCTTTCCTTTATGGAGCCTCTTTGACTTTGAAAATTTTTCGCGGTCGAACTTTCATCCGGATCTTTGAGATGTGCTAATTTGATTTCTGTTTTATAGCTGCCCCAAACGTTTTTAGGACTATTAAGCGAATGAAAACATCCAATGAACTCTTGCGTTACACAGGGATAAAAGGAAAAGAAGTGAAACACAATTTCTATATTTATTTTAATGCAAACAAATAACGTGTCCGACTTTCGATGTCCGTCCGACTTTAGCTGTTCCTCCCCTACATGTATCAACGTTGCATACTTCAGTAAAACTAATGCTTTATTGCTGTTGATGAAAATCGATGTTTTAATTTTAACAATAAGAAGTGAAAGTTATTACAGCTAAATACACACAGGGTTTAATTGAAAAATACCATTTCGCTATTTAAGGGTTACCAACCCATGGCAAAAAAACATATTTTTTTAAAGTATAACAAATGAATTGGAAAGGAGTCAATATTTTTTATTTCAAATTAATTTTCAGTTAGAATACAGAGTATAAAAATTGAGTTAGATTTAAATGAACCTAAAATATACATATTCATGACTGGAAACCATATTTTTGATTTCATCTTCGTTTGATTTACCTTTCTGAAGAACATTATACAGTTCGGAGAAATCTGCCTGGGCCCATATGATATTTATAGTACTGTTGTTAAGTTCTAGCGTGGAAGACTGCAGACTTTCATTTCCCATCTGCTCGGGGGAACATATGCTATTGATTATGCCTAAAATAAAACACAACATATTATTAAAGTAATATCACGTTAAGGTAAATATTAGTATTGGTAAATGAAATGAATTATTAACTCTAGTATATGTGGCCAAAAATCAATTATTAGATTTTGAAAATATGTGTCTTAAATAAATATTTGTTTTGGGTAGGAATTAATGTTAGTTTTTTTTATCAATGCAGATTATTATGATTAAAATCATGTTTATTTAAAGTAAAATTTGAATAGAGATTTGTTATTGAATTAAATAGATGTATTTTTTGCAGAAAGCAATAGCATTTTACATGTAATAAAAACAAACATGTCCATTTTTCAGGAAAAATTATTGATCCTTATTAAAACAAACTCATTAAAACATTATATGATAGTTTAGTAAATGGGATTCTTATTTATCCGGAAAAAAATTAACCGAATTCAGAAGTATTCTCAGAAAAACTGCACCATAATATCCTGTTAGTACCCACATCTTTGCGGTAAAATAGAAACATTGTTTTCTGTCAATGCAACATTGTTTAGTTGTCTTTAAAAAAAAGTTTACTAATCTCAAACAAGTAGTAAGGTAGGGAAAATTGGAAATATAATATTGTCTTTAATTAGAAATTTTCTCCTCTCAAATCAAAATGGAATTTTGAAGAGTCAGATTAAGAAACCGGTGTGTAATGGCAGGGCTTCAAACTTTAAATCTTTCCGGTGTAAATAATAAGATCAATGCCCCCCATGAAATGATAACCGGGACTCAAATCTCGACGTGATCACATCGATTGATTAATTGATTTATGTTTTTACGTCTTTTTGAGAATATTTCACAATGTTTATAAAGAACCCATCACTTTGACTGGAGGAGAGCTACAAATGTTGTCCTTTACTCGGCACTTACAGTCATTGAGCAGTGGGGATCTTTTTGTGCCAGCATCTATTGCGGTTCAGGACCTCGGATTATACGGTCTCATCCGAGCTCGAGGGACCGATCTTCACGTACCACAGTGAGATTCGAACCCGCGATGTAGGGATCATTTCCATTTTTTGCGACTCTATAGAAGACGCTTTAACGACTGCGCAACGCGGGCAACTGACCACATGACTTAAAAAACCTGCATATTCGACATAAAGTTAACTATATAAAAATGACCCTTGTAGATTTTAGTATGAGTAGTCATTTTATCCCCCCCCCAAAAAAATACCATTTTTTTGGTCATTTATATGAATTCTTAAGGCTTCCAAAGAAGTTGGTGGGATTACGCTTAATTTTAGATGAGCAAGACAGTTTTTAAAAACAATATATTTCCATTTTAAATTTCTTTTTGAAAGTTAACGGATTTGATTTCTTGATAATTCTACCGGAATGGAAATGAGGCAGGTCGATAGATCAGGATCTTAGGAGGCCTAATATGCATACATCTCGTGCGTATCTGTCTGTGTCTGACGCTAAGGAGGCCAAATATACATGTAAATCTCATGCAGCAGCCTTTGTGTTTGACGTCAGTCATCCCTACTAATGTTATTGTGATTTAAATTCAAGCCACGTGGTTTAAGTTGACCCATTCAAAGATTACAGGGTAAATAAAATTGGCAGTAAATATGAAATTGCCAAAACTATATACTTTATCTTCGCTTTTGTGATAATTCACGGTATAAATTGGAGCTCATTAGAAACAATATCCCCAAAATAGGCCGATACCCTGGTATGAAATATAAATGTTTACAATAACATTTACACTGACACACCATTGTATGCCTTATATGGCTATTTTTTATCAATGCGCACGTCAGATCCTACCAATCGCCACCTGACCAATCGTTGAATGAATAGCAACGTTTACGTAACTATACATGTTTTTATTTTACTTTGAACACGTGGTTCAGGTCGATCTATGATCGATGTGAAATGGGCCCCAAAAAAGTTCATATGAAAAAATACAAAGATTAGAAACTATGAAAGATGTCATCGGCGTTTTAAATTTGTTGTTAACTAGATGTATAAAAATGTAGTTTGTGTCAAGTTCAGAACACCAGAGCTTGAAAGGTAAGGAAACCGAGCAGCATCTCCTGAGCATTTTAAAGCACAATATCTGTAATCATACGTGTTTTTTTGGCCAGGGAATCCACTTGACATTTGTATTCATCGATAGTACAACAAAGGAATCAATACAGACGCAAATCGTCTTGTAGTATGACTAAGAAATACCTAGAATTTTATGTTTATTCAATAAATGAATTGCTATATAATAAATCATTATTAGCATGAAAATAATAGGACAAAAAGGAACAATTGAAATTGCTTTACGAAATTGCTGCAACAGTGTTCTTTGTGCCTTTCCAATCGCCATTATATTTGTGTGGTTTTTCTTCAGGTGTAAAATTCCTGTAGTACCCGTAGTAACCCATAATGCAATTCTCATTCATCTGATTTGTCAGTTAAAGCCATGTTTGTGCCTCATTTGCTAAGCTGACGCCAAAAATATAGTCCCGGTTCCAAATACATGTACAGCATGTACAGTAATTTTTAAACATGGTTTTTCGCACAAATTAAAGTCACATTTTTCGTGCAATAAAACTTAGAATTATTGAGTTTCAGTTCGAGACATAACCCTTGTTGTATTATATTGTTTCATGTTACAAGTGCACATTCTCTAAAATCATTATCGTAAGTTTCAAAAGTCAGTGTTCTAAAAGGAAATTTGTTTATAAATTGTATGATGTTAAATGTGTATGATTCTATCATAGGTTTTTACAAATTTATTAATGGACCTTTCTTTGATACTATTTTGTTTAAATGTTCAAATTTACTTCTTAAAGATGAGTATTTTTCGAGGTACTTTGCAAATTTTCTATACTTGTCTATATTTTTTCGAAATTAAGCGCCGAAAAATGACAAAACTGTATAAAGAAATCAAGTAAAAGGATAGGATAATAAATTATTGTTTATCTTTCAACAAAGTAAATTGTAAATATCAAAAAGAAATTTCTTTTACATTTATGGTCTGAAACTTTGAAATTTTGCGAAGGAAGGTATCTTTCATGATGCTAGATTTCAGGAAGTTAACCCGAAAAAATGCCACCTTTTTAACATAGAAAGCAGTCGAAAAGATGCGAAATACATATATATTACATGAACTGCACTGTTTCTGTATTAAGGCAAGGTAAAAGTATGCTTTAAAGTGAACGGATACAAAGACAGTTACATTTGACAAGAAACAATGAAAAATACTTTGGAAACTCTGATAAGATATCAAGCAAGAGCATAAAAAATCCCACCAATTATTATGAGTGAATTATGTTTAAAGTATTGGAATATGATCAAAATTAAGTTATAAATCATTTTAGAAATATATTTTCTTGTCACATTACACTTATTTTGCATTATAGCAATGTGACTTTAAAATAATTTGTGCGAAAAACCATGTGAGTTTAAAAAGTTTGTTGAGCTGTATATTTGTTTAAAAAGAAATTTTGATGCATGAATGCAGAAAAATGATACCAAAGTGAATATATATACTCATTTAAGTTGAATGAATTCAAATCTGTAGAAATGTACTTCAATTTCATTTCACCTAAGTTGATAAAAATTGAAACACAACATAACTTTTCTGTTTACCATGTCTCCACGTGCTAGTCATTTCCTAGCCACATTTCCGTAAATAATTTACCATATTTCCCCGTATTCTCGCTTACTCTCGCCAGAGCTACTACCAAAGCTACCCCTCGTGTTTTATTATTTGCAGAACACCGAAAAATAAAAAGTGCCGTACACTTTAGAAGGGGTGTCAGTGGGCAAGCTAGGACTATTGATAATGGCATTGGCTATGGAGTTCTCGTGTAATTTAAATCTATGTCTACATTGTAAAGCCTAAATTTACAATTTTATTTCACAATGAAATGGAAATATAAGGAATCACTGTCTAGTTAGTATAGAATACCACGGACATCAACGATAGTAGGAAATATGGGATAATATATGCATAACGGGCATCGCCCGTTCTGCAAATTATCCAATGTTTTCCACTATCTTTGATGCCCTGGCATACTATAGTAACTAGACAGTGATTCCTTAACTAATTTAATGCAATCGAACAAAGATAACACCGTCGTAGACAGGAATGTGGATTATGTAACAAAAAGGTTTTGTTGCAGATTATTTGTAAGTTGGCCATAAGAGTCTTTTATCATTAAAATATCCAAATATAAAACTTATTGCATTTTTATGATGAATATGTTATTCTATAGCAACGGCAATGTATCTCTCATGCGATTTTTAATGTTTGCTAGAAACACAATGGGTGAAATATGCGGATAACGAGCCAAATTCATACTTAGTGCTTCATCTGAACATTATATATTTTAGCAGAGCAAACATAAATTAAAGGATGAAAAATCGGTTTTAAAATATATGCATAATTAGATAAAGTTAATTTTTCTGTCTACGTTTGCTCAAATTTACCAAAACATACAGCTTGGTAAAAATTTGTAATCGAATGAATTTTTATGTCTTTAAAATCAGCCAATTTTGAATAAAACCTGATACATGTTTCATACCTGAATCACATTCTTTTTGTAGCAGAAAATCAAAGTCAGCATGTTATTTACATATGAAGGCTTATTAATCAGCGCACTTGTTAAATGTTGACATTTACATGACAAATGCAATCTCATTCAAAGGGAAAATCAATACATTATTTAATAGTTAAGTTCACCAATATAATCTTAACTTATACAAAAAAGATTAAAATACTACACATAAACTTGCCTATTGTGTTGGTCGAATTCATCCCATTTTTAATCACAACTAGAAGAAAAAGAACAATTTCTGCGAGAAACACATACATGATGTCTCAGGGAAGATAATAATCAAACAAGCCAGCAGCCGAGCGTTCTTGATGTGGATTAAACATTATCACATTAATATTTCAAAGTACATAAAACTTGAGTACAATATCCCGATACCGAGGTTAGCTTCAGTGTTGACATTAAAATGTGGTTATAGAACTGTATAGGAGTAAAATGGTACTTCTTGCTAGTAATGATCTCTTATCTGTCCACAATCTCATTAGTTCTCATAACACTCAGAGTATGTTTACTTGGCAAATCAATAGTTTGCTATGTTTTTTAATTAGAATTGATTTTAATGTTTAACGGAGTTGTTTTGTCAGGAAACAATCGTGTTTTTATTTTAATCTTGAGTGTGCTTTTACGATGAACAATTATCCAGACTAAATGTTCCTTTAAAGCACCGAATCTATTGTTGGATTTCGTCGGTTCGTATAACATAACATGTCCGTTAGGACAAATTGAATACCAGTTGCTGAAACAGTCATATGCGCTATTAGACAACAAGAACTCAATTTTCGATTTTCTGATTTTTCATCTTCAAAAATATTAATTTTGGGCCCCATACGTGGTGGGAGTTATTCAAATGTGTCTTATCAGGATTATGCTTTAGTATTTTGCAAATGGGTTTCATAAGAAGAA